TGTGTTCGTGTGTGTGTGTGTGTGTGTGTGTGTGTGTGTGTGTGTGAGTGCGCGTGTGTGAGTGCGCGCGCGAGGTAGCCGGAGGAGTCGTGCTGATGCTGCAAAATGGCGATTTGTAAAATCAAGATCAGTACTGTTGTAAAAAATCGCAGAAGAAGGCATCGGTACAATTTGTTCCACTTGCTGGCGATGCACATTTGGATAAAAAAAAAAAAAAAAAAAAGCAGCTACCTTAGTCAGCGCTCGCCTCCCAGCCAATTGTTTCTGTGGCAACATAAGTACCGCTATTGGATCAGAATTTTTGTGCTCTTATCAGCTGCTCCTTTAAAAAAAAAAGAAGCTTCTGCAGGAAGACATCAAGATCCGGATGCTCAAAGGAGGAAAAAGTGGCACAAAAGTAAGGCAAAACGAAGAACGACATCTATACACGTACATCCATCCTCTTTTGCGCTTCTCCTCATTTGGGTGAGCAGGAGGCCCAGCTGACTTTGGGTGACCAGTCCAGGGTACACCCTGAACTGCTCACCAGCCAATCACAGGGTAGGTAGAGAAAAGCATTTCGACTCCGATTAAGGGCAGTGACACATTCGGACAATTTCCAGAGCACCCAACATGTATGTTTATGGAATGCGGAATCCAACCCAGCCGGAGTCCTGATTCGAACCCCGACTTCACGAGTGTTGTACATGCTTAGCTGTAAGCCACCTATTTTATGGGAAACTGAAGTGATATCAAAAGCTTTCTGGATCCTAATTTCGGCTGAACAAAATAAACAAAAACACCTTTTAAAAGAGGTTAAAGTTTGAAAATTTGTCATAAAAAAAGTCATAACAAAATATAAATTCTTAAATATGACAAAAAAAATGGGAGGCCTGTGCTTCTCTGTTTAGGTTGCTGCCCTCGCAACAACCTGACCCCAGATAAGTCAAGGAAAATGAATGGATAGATCCATTTTTGAAAGGGTCAAATTGACCAATTTCAAAGTAAAAACAAAAACCTTTTATGGAAATAAATGTGTTCTGCTTAAAAAAAAAAAAGATGTAAAAAAAACATTATGAAACTTATGCTCGAGCCCCCCCCCCACACACCATCTCTTAATCTTTAAAAGGGGTCAATTTGGCAAAAATTAGGTTGAATTTTTTTTTTTTTATGTAAAAAAACAAAAGGGCTTTAACATATGCGGGGGGAGGGGGGGGGTCGCTAAGGATAAAACGAGTTGTTTTTAACACTCCAGTACAAGCAGCCCACGAGCCCCATCGCGCCGCCTGCTTGGCCTCGACCTGTGCGCAAAGAGACACGTGCACGTTGGCGGATGGAAAACCTTATCGAAGCACCATCGCGGCCTGCAGCCCGTTGTGTTTTGTCCACATTGTGTCAAGTCATGCAACTCGCCCCAATTTTTGCCCGGAGGTGCTTCACTGCGAGCGGAACCACTTTTTTTTTTCACGGCGTGTGCTTCTGGTGAAAAGCAAACTTTTGCATAGCTTATTTTCAACAAGGCAAGAGTCGGCGTTACGCAAAGTTGCCACCATCCAAAATGTGCCTCTGATGCAAACAATGGATTATATCATATACTGTATTTCTATACGCTATAATTTTGGCTTTTGGACGTTTTGTCTACCAGTCCCGTGAAGCCTTGGGTGATGCCCCAAGGCGAGAAGGGCTACCCGGGGTCCCCGACTTGCCGCTTGGCTCTTAGACGTCGCCGTTGCGGTCTGGAGCGAAGCAGCCGTTGGTCCTGCAGCCGCTCTGCGTCGTCGTGGCCCGGGACGCTTTGTTCTGCCGGGCTCTCCAGCGTTGGGCCAGCGGCTCCATGAAGAGCGACAGGGAGGAGAGCAGGTAGCAGAGCCCCGCCAGGTAGAAGGAGCAGTCGTAGGTCTGCGTGTAGTCGTACAGGAAGCCTAAATCCCCCAACGCAAAAACAAATCACATTCTAGCGTCAGCAGTGGCATTTTTATGAGGGGAAATGATCATATTCAACCCGGTCGAGCAGGCGCGTTTAAAAAAAAAATTCTGAATGAAAGACAACAAAAATCAGCACTACACTAGCGACCACTGTACCCCCCCTCCCCCCCAAAAAAAGTGATTTCAAGCAGAGTGGATGTTTTGAATTGCTTCTCCTTGATGTATTTTGGCCCAAGATTGTGAATGAGCTTTGGCCTTGTCACTCGGCGGAATTCATGGAGCACAATCAATCGGCCAGCATACGCCCGCCAACCGCAAGCGCGAGGCCGGCAGAAAATGATTCCGACAGCACGATTGGCAATCCGTCAGGTGAAAAAGGCCAGCCAACATTTTACCTGCATTGCCATCAATACAGGGCGGCCCGCCTCATTCTTTCAATTCGGCCCACCTTGCATTATTTGGAGGATCCTCTATTTGCCAGTGATGGGAAAACGAAGCTTCATGAAGCACTTTTTTACTACTCCAGATGATGCTCTTGGTTTAATGCCATGGAAATGTGTTAAAATTCCACTGCATCTTTAAGCCAAGAGTGCCATCTAGAGGAGTCAAAAACTATCACAAGTGCTTCATGAAGCTTCGCTTGTCCATCACTACAATTTGCCGCATTTATTTCGACATTCAATTGGGTTCAAATGGATTTTAAGGGTCTCATTATTCGAGAAAATAATTGGTTCAGAACTTCAAATGACATTCGTTTTAAATTAGAGCAACAATGACAATGGATGATTGTTTTAGTGTTCAAGAGGAAATATTTTACATACATTTGTACATACAAGTCGCTCGCATACAAATTTTAATTTGTGTTTACTCAGCTCAGAATGAACTGGCCTGTTGGAAAAAAAAAAAAAAAAAAAAATCAAATGCGGTCATTGTGCCCAAAGTTTGCCGAGGTCTACTCTCCAGCGACAATGCCGAGTTAACGGCGGGCGTGCGAACAAGAATCTGCTTCAGGTTTGTTGTCTGTCAAACTGTCGGCTTGTTTTGCAGGGACGCAAGCTATTTACGAACTGACCCCCGAAGGGGTCATTCATGACATTTCAACCCAAAAATACTCCAGCTGGCGTCTGGGCCTGACTGGCTGGCTGACACCGCGGGGGAACCTTGCATATTTCCAGGTGGCTGGAAATACTGAGTGCATGCGTGTGTGGTGTGTGTGTGTGTGTATATACATATATATGTATTGGGGGTGGAGCTTTTTCCGTTGCCGGTCCCTCTCTTTGGGCAAGCCTGCTCGCCGCCCATCTTTAAAACTCATCTTCAAACTCATTTTTCTTCTTTGGCTTTTGACTCAGCATGAGACTGGCTTTTGAGTTGGACTGTTTTTGTGCTTTCCTCTGTCTTTGTTATTCATGGATTGTTGTATTTATTTTAACGTGCTCGAGAAATACAGTCCAGTTGAGTTCCATTTCATAAAAACCTTGTTTCAGGACTTTCGGATGACCTTGGGGGTGGGGGGGTGTAATCCGACTAATTTGCTCATCAAATGAAGTCTTTGATTAGCAAAACTGCTCCCTTTCAGTCCCACAGACCTCAATGATACGTGTACCATTTTGGTTTTTATTTGGTGACTGTGTGTGCCGTGCAAATTACATTCTCGATGCCGATTGGCCGGCATGATCTGAGCCCATGTGGGTCGGCCTGAAACATTGACGGACTGGTGTATCTTCCCTCAGGGATTTTTTTTTTTTTTGGGGGGGGTATGGTTACA